CCCCAAAACCCCAAAACCCCAAAACCCCAAAACCCCAGGATAAGTTCGCCAGATAGAGTAAATTGTATATTAATAAAGATGCCAAATTGCTATTTAAAGACACTCAAGTGGTCTTATAATAGGATAAAGGATAGAGATATATTCAAGCAATCTATATCTTTGACATACAGAGGGAAAGATAATTTCTCGAGCATCATTGGGGCTATCTCAACTGTCATTGTATTAATCTTGCTATTTTCTTACTGTGTAATCTTACTAAAGATGATGTTCGCACGAACTGATGTGAGTTGGAATCTTAACTCAGTCCAATTAGATCTCTCTAAAGATGACACCAAACTTATTTGGGGAAAAGATGACCCTAAGATCAAGATATACTGGGATTTTATGAGAAACGTCCCAGAAAATATCGAAATGAATCAATTGGTTGGAGGAAAATTTAATTATTGGCAATATGAAGAGGACTACTTTAAAATCTTTAATGTTAGTTATCTTCACCAAGCTATTATTGATGCAGATGACTGAAGCAACAGTTTCGAAGTAATGGAGGATACCATATATAACAACACAAGGACACGCCCATTTTGTCCCAAGTTAGTCGGTCTTGAAATGTATGGAAGAAAGCATATATAAATGTGGCATCTTCAGAGCTTGAATTCAAACTATCTTCATGAAGCAACTCCTATTTATTCAATTGTGAATCAATGGACAATCAAAATAAGTATATAGACAATACCTACATCAATATTCACATACAGAACAGGTATGTTGACCTGAACGATATCGATAACCCTATTAAGAATTACTATGACAGAATATATCAAGTTCAAATCGAAAGGAACAGATTCAAGAGAGTTAGGCTCAAACTTAGAAGACATGAAGTCATACTAGAGGATTCCTTGTTTCCAACTTTTTGGGAAGCTGAACCTATTTACTTCAACAGCTTAGAAGGTTTCGAGCTTATAGATTCTCGCCAACTTCCAGCAGAGTCTGATGAAATGGGAGAAGTAAGACTTGAAATTACCAGAGACACTCAAATTGACCAGCACACTCGAAGGGTCTTGAACTTCCTCGAAGTCACAGGTGTTCTTGGGGGACTCTTCGAGATTTTTGAATTAGGTTTCGGAGCCATCCTTGGAGTATTGTCTTCATATTTGTTCAAACGTCAGCTGTTCGAAGATATTCAGAAGTATGAAGCTAAGTTTACACAAATGGAGAAATGTATTCATGAGCTTGAAGAAAGAATTAATCATGAAGAAAGCTCAGAAGAATCTCAATCTTCAGATAGTCATGATAACAGTCAAGAAGAATCCAAGGAGAATATTAGAAACCAGGACTTGAGCAATTCAAGAGCAAATTTATTTGAAATTTAAAAGTATTCATGAAGGAGGAGAATTGGAAGCCAAAGAAGAAAGTAAATTAAATAGAAGATCAGCAGGTAAGTTTGCTAAATAGACCTAATTGATAATATTATATAGATCAACTCAAATCTATTGATCAGAATAAATTGAGATTCTTTTCTCTTCATCAACAAGCTGATAATTTGAACCGTGATAGAGAAAGAGGAAGAAATATTTAACAAAAATAATAAAAATCAATCAAAATGGGTTACTTTGTTCACAAAATACAAAGAACTAGATAATGAATTAGGAAAATTTGAAGATTCTCTTGACTGCCTAAAAATTTCTTACATGATAAAAATCCTAAACTGCCAAGTCAACTACCTGCTCTTACAAGACCCTGACTATTGCGCTTCTTTAAAACAAAACCCTCAACTTGCAATAAACTTCGACGAAATCTACTCCTCCAAATCCGAAGACCCTCCTCCTCCCAAAGTGTCTCCCCTTCCCTTTCCATCCAGACCACCCCAAGACCTATCCCAGCAATACCTATCAGCTAGAATGCTTGCTTACCGCACAAAGACCAAAACTCCAAAAAAGCCGCCTGAACAGACCAATCTGCCTTAAGTTATAGCTCAATATCCAAACTTAGTATCGGGGTTTTGGGGTTTTGGGGTTTTGGGGG